TTATTACTGTAAATACTTTTCAAAGAAGCTGGTAAATTTTGATTGCGACAATGACTAATGAAACTCTTTTTTTTTTTAAGTTTCGCGATGGGGAGCGCAGAGATTATCAGCATCAGTCCTGTTCTTTTTTTGATTTGGTTAATGTCCATTGCAAAATATGAGAGTTCCTACACGTTTTTTTTAACAAATCGTTTAACTTCTTATAAGTTTAAAGCGCTTTATCATTCTCTTCACTACTACTGCTTTCATTGATATTTATAAGATCATTCGATTCTTCATTAGTCATTTATCGATCGTCATTCTCGATTAATTCTTTGACTTCTTCTATATCTGAAAATACGTCGCCGCCAATTGATTTCACAATATATATAACTTCTCTGGCTATGGCGGACATTCTGCAGTGTACCGCGTATGAAGTAACTCTAGCATTAGAAAAATTAAATGAAAGTAATCAGATAACGCATATGTGAAGAATCCACAAATCCTTGCTCGCAATGGTTTACTCTACTACCTTCTTTTCTCAGTTTTCCTATAATTATTTTAATCAAAACTTTTACTAAATAATTTTTGATTAAAACTAAACTATCGTGTACAGTGAACGTGTCGTGATGTTTCTGAAATATTAGTTAGGTTGGATTAATGAAATCTTTAGAAATTAACGACGAGGATGAAACGTTGTGAGTTCCACTTATAAAAGAAAGTCGTGAAGGTTCAGACAATAAAGAAAACTATTTGATATTCTGAGAAGAATTCTTCTTAGCCTGTAATGATATTATTAGCGTACTTCCAGCTATTCAAAATTTTATTAAAGATTTTAAATATTTCACCTATAAAAATACCGAAGAGTTCGTAGTTAAAAGATTTTAATTTAAAAGGCAACTTGATGTTAACGAATATTTTGTATATAATTTTATATTAATTTTATATTAATCATTTACAAAGCAATCAATTACACTTATTAATTGTTATCATTAATTTAAAATTCTTGCTCTAAAGCATTCTTTCTATTTTAAATAAGTAATAATAATAAGAATAATATGTGCTAAACTGTTATTAAAGAATGAAATGCATTTTTTTCTTTAAAATGAGAATCGAATACGCCAAATATTTATCTCTCTTCGAAACGACAGTTATAATTCAAAGCGACAACAATTTTGCAACACACAAAATTTGAAACACAAAATAATTTTAAATTGATTTTTTATCGCTAGTTCAACAGTTTGAGTTGCGCTTCATAGGTATTATAACATCTCTTTGACTTTAAAAAAAATACTTAGCTTTTACATTTTTAAGTTCCGTTTTGTTTAAATAAGAGGACATATGTAAACAAACAATAAATAATTTTAAACTCTGAAGCCATAAATGCTGCAGATAGTGGTTAGTGACGCCGACTTGCCGTACCGAAAGGGTACCGATTGCTTGAATCGTGGAAAAAAGTTGCATGTTTGGTCTGTGCAACAGGGGAGAGCACTCAAAATATACCTTCAAAATTCGTACTGTGTCACATGGCTCTCAAAGCCAAGGACAAAGCGCAATCTTATGCTCCTTTCCACCATAAAGTTTGTGGACTTCTCCTAATTAGATCAGATAAATGAGATTAGCAACAAACATAACAATAAGCTACAATTTTCTTTTTCATAGAGACATTTAATATGATTGATAACTAAAAAGTTCAAGAAAGCATGTTGTTATTGTGAGTAAACCTTTCATCGTTATTTCTCAGATACGCATAATAAGAAACGAACTTCCTTCTTTCATAAATGTTTTAAATAATTAGAAAAGTAGAGCGATCATGTGAGTGTCTGATATCAATAATATTTGAAACTGATTGAAATTGATCACCATCGAAAATTTTGTCAGCTGTTGATATTTGACAATATTTCGTATTTTCTTTCCTTGTATAATTCTTATCTGTGTTACAAGTCTAGTAATGAATCAAACGCTTTTGCTTAGTAACACCATTCAAACTTTTGAAGGTTCATAACATTTCAGTCATTTACGAAGTTCCAGGCCTTAATTTAGACCACTTTTGCTTTACAGTGACAAGAACTTGCGAATGCTGGTTAATCATGAACAATAACGCAGTAAATTAGATTTCTAGACCAAAAAAGCATCTTCTCAACATACCAGAAGCGGGTAGCGTTTCGCATTCTTACATCTAAATGCTAGTTGAATGACAACCAAACACAATGATTCATAATATTTTGAAAGCAGATTACATGTTATATTCTAGTATATTACTTTATTACATTTTTTTCATTTAAAAAATATGGATCCAAAAAATTAATGAAGAAATTGAAAATTAAGATATGGGCGCAATGTTTTATTGTAAATCAAGGAAAATCAAATTAATTTAATGAAAGCTGAATTAATCAAAGCTTAATCAATATATCTGAACATTTAAATACTTTTGTGTATCATCTGCAAAATAAAAATGACAGATATTCTGGAACTAACAGTATTCTGGTTCTTTCTTTCAATTACAGAACTTTTTTTTTTTTTTTTTTTTTTTTGAGAGGGGACAGGTACGGTTGAAGAAAGCCTCGCATTTGTGCATCCAAGTAACACCTCACTTTGCTAACTGCTAAGCTTCTGAACCGCATGGAGTTCGGGAAAAAAAAAACCCTCCGGGCTGCAGTCCGAGGGTCTCGCATGCCTCTTTCTCTACCACCAACATTTTCTCATAAATCTTACCTCTCGTACCTGCCAATATCCTTGTTTTAAACCCTAGATTCTTTTTACTTCAAATACGTCACTACATGAAGTTTTATCACCTAGCAGAAATGGGAATTATACGGCGAGAGAAAAGCAGAAAAATAACATTCTCCAAATAAAATTAATTACATAAAGGATTATATAATTCAGATAATGTTATAATATCTGATCTAAAAAAACGGAAGATTTATGCTCGCAGTCATAAAATTTTAAAAAATAAATAAAAATGAAAAAAAAAAAAGTCTATGCTTTTGAAAGCTTTGCTACCACAAATCCTGGAATAAAAAAAAAAGGCCATTTGTAATGGAAATTGAAAAATATAAATTATACCTAATTTGATATAAAGACCTAATTTGATGAAAGGTAAACTAGAAATTTTAAACCTGAAGAGAAGGTAGGCAAAGCAGTTAACTTCAAGATTCACATATCACCCAAATTAATGGCTTTTATTATTACACAATATAATATATTATATTTTAAAAAGCTATTAATTTGAGTGATAAATCAGAAATTCGGAAATGAATCAGAAGTTGCCAAAATATGTTATCATACTATCCTCGTTTTTTTAGCAAAACTTTAATATTTTTGAAAGCAATCAAAAAACATAATATTAACAAAGTGTTAGTTTAACAGCAAAAAGTATCGTAATCCTTGCTTTGTATTTAAGTTCATTTTATAATTGACAATTTTGTTTCACAGTCATTGTTGTACATAAAGGGGGAAATTCTCATGTATTGCCTTTATGTTGCATCAGTATTTTAGATCAGTAGTTGCCAATTATTTTGCACTTACGTAGTCCTTGCCAGCCAATTACTGTAATAAAATATTAGCACAAGGGGCGTTTTAATTCATTGAATGCCTTTATCGTTAGTCCACCAGCGGCCGAGTAGTACAGTCGTTGAATATTGATAGTTCGGTTCGAGATTAAAATTCCTGCGAATAAGCTGGCTGCATGGGTGTTTTTGTGTTTTTTCCCATGTGAAACGTGGATACGAGCCAGTTTCCATTAGAAAGTCTTTCACAGAGGCATCCCCCCTTACGCAGATAGCCCCTTACGCAGATTTGATTATTGCCGTAATCAAATAAACCAAACCAAATAAACCAGCTCTTACTGTTAGCGAAATGTTGGGCAATTAATGTATCTAATGTTATTTTAATCTCACATACCGAAACTTTGGAAAAGAATTCCAGCCATCCCTTTTACTGACGTTAGGAAGAGGAAGGAAAACGTTTTGCCCATTCTTCATAATGCTGAACTAAAAATCGAGATTTCTCATGTTACCCTTAAGTGCCGTTTTCCCCTACTGTTTAATTAGTTTGCTGCTAAATATCCTAGTTTATATTCCCGGGAGCATGCATACTAGAATTTGAGAATAATTTTATGAGTAATTAATTTTTTTAACATATATAAAACCGAATTATTTCATTTTATTATACAATAGAACCCGTTTTACTCAACACAGAAGAATTCGAAATAAAAACAGATCTAAAAACCATGAAAGGGTACTCTATTCGTTGATCATGCAATGCACATATAAGCCTACTTATTAAAATGAGTTTATAAAATGCCGAAATTTACATATCTTCGTTTGTGTATGTCTTTTATTTCAACAAAATATCCTGTGTATCTGATTTTGACATATGTTCCTTGATCCCTCAGTGCCTGTAACATATACATGCACACGTATTTATAGGTCTCCAGAAATGGAATTTTCTCTGAATCACATGTGTATTTATTGGCCAAAGATATAAACTTTTTATTGGAGATATTCGTTCAATTTTTCCCAATTCAAGAATTATTTTTTTTTTAATTTTTCAATTTCAGTTTAAAACATTGTGCAATTTAAAAAGCAAATTTTGTATTACTTAGTAGTATAAGGCTTTGGAAACAGCCTTTATTAATTTGCAATAACTGCAAAAGTTCATATAAATTATTAGCTGTATATTTTAAATCGCTGTTTCGTAATCAATAACAAATTGATTTAAATTTGAAAGTTGAAATTAAGATGTTATGCTTTAATGAGAAGAAGCAACACCATGTGACTCCTCAGCGCTCTTTTCCTACAGTAGCAGTATTTAACAAAGCCCTGTTTCTGAATTCTTTTCCTTCTTCCCTTCCATCAGATTTTTCCCCAGGAAAAGCTTTTATCCAAGTGCGAGCAATACGTCTCTTTAAAAATGTAATAAGGTTCGGCTCTAAATATGTTATGTGTTGCTTTTTAAAATTTTTTAAATAAGACATACACTTTCTTAGATATTTTAGGAGGTCACTGAGAGCAGAAGCATTGAAAGGTAAAAATCCTTTCGAACTTTATTCTTTGGTAATAAAATATACAAATATAACAGGTAACATAAAATAATATCTGGTTATAAACAACAGTGTTTACAAACAATGTATTCTATTCACAAGAATCTTTTGAACTTTTGTGCATTCTCTACTCAATATAAATGTCCATATCCCCCATAAATAGCTTGATCAGCGCTGTAAATTTGAGGCTCATCAAGCTTTTCGTCACGGGCTATATCGTACCTCTTACCATAACTGGCAGCTCCATATACTCCGTGATCGGAATGTAAAGCTTTTCTGGCTAGTCCACTTCCATACAAGCTTGAAGGACTACCATGACTGACTTGGCCTCCTGTTGAACCATATGTCTCAACGGTCTTGCTATATTCTTTCTGAGTAACGTATGCTTTTCCATAACCTTCTGGCGCATAGCTTCCAGATGCATACCCACTGGAAGGCACTCTACCATAGCCACCTCCACTCTGGGAAGAAGATGAATATCTTGCAGCCTTCGGAGCATAGCTAACAGGTGATGGTGGTGCTGAGTATCCCCCAAGTGCTTCAGGAGCATAATACCCATTTTGTACATTAGGAGCATATGCTCTGGGTGCGGAATATCCAACAGGTACTTTAGGGGCATAGCCACCTGCTGAAGAAGGAGCAGAATAGGCGCTACTAGGAGGAGCATAAGCACTATGAGAAGGAGGAGGTCCATAGGCACTATGAGAGGCAGGTGCATAACTGCCCAAAGAAGAAGGTGATCCATATGCACCATGAGAAGCAGGTGCATAACTACCAGATGATGATGATGGAGGTCCATAAGCATTATGTGGCTTTGCAGCAGAATATCCACTGTGAACGGGTGCTCCATAACCGCTTCCAGAAGCTGGCGGTGGTGGTGGAACATAACTGCTTCCAGAAGCTGGAGGTGGTGGTGGAACATAGCCACTCGATGTTTTGGGTGCTACTGCAGGGGCATACGGTTTAGGGGAATAACCAGAGGAGATGGATGGACCGTGGCCACTTGGGGGAGCTGAGCTGTATGCTCCATAGGTTCTTACGCTGTCATAACCACTTGAGAGTTTGGAAGGTCCACTTAACGACGAAGTCGGCTTAGAATATAGAACACCACTGGATGGAGGTTTCGAATAACCACTTGAATATTTCGATAGGCTATCGTATCCACTCAGTGGCTTAGAGTAGCCACTAGATAATGATGAAGAAGGTCCGCTGTATCCGCTACCATATCCACTTAATGGCTTAGAATGACTACTAGACAAAGAAGAGGATGGACTACTGTATCCGCTACCATATCCACCTTGTGGTCTGGAATAACCACTAGAAGGCTTTGAGTAACTGCTTGGTTCTCGGTAAGCACTTATTGGTTTGGAGTAGGAGTCAGGATGTGGAGCAGAAGCAGGACTGTAACTAAAATAATTAAAAAATATGTTAAACATTCAGACAGACACATGCTTAAATTAGATATATATGCATGAATTCCTATTATTAAAATTCTTAGTTCTTTAGTTTGCAGATTACAAGTATAACGATACGGTAGAAAACATTTTCCTTGAAGTAATTAGCTGAAAACGTTTGATAAATTAACATTCTAAAAAGAACTATTTTTATACCTAATAAATAATCTAGAAAGTAATGAATTTTTTCAATTCCTTTTTAATTTTGCCAAAAGTTCTTTCAATAAGCAATAAACAAGTAAGAAAATAGATTCAGAAGTATGTTTGAGATAAATAAAAATTTAAAAAAGATATTAAATTGAAAGCAATAAGTCATATTTCCTTTTCTGTTACACCTAAAATGTTGCAAAATGTTTGAAACCAATTTTAAAGTTGATTTCCAACAGATTTCATATTAAATCTGAAAACGAAACATCAGAACGTTGTGTCTCGTAATTTCAAAATTTAAGGCTAAATTCAGAATAAATATTTGCAGAAAAATTGTATAATGCGATAAATGTAAATTATCTTCTTTTTCTAGTAGTAATTATTTTGGTGCCAACCGTACAGATTCTAATATGCCATGATATGTCTTCAGTATATGCTTGATAAGGAATATTTGATGTTCAAGAAGCGGCACCTTTTAGGAAGATCTTGAGAAAACTTCTTCGTATTTGCTTCATAAATTCGAAGAAAAACAGTTTTTGTTTTCATAAACTAGCTGATTCGCAGATTTCAGCCTTCAGCCAATGGTAGTCTCATACATTGAGCAAAAACTAATGGTAAATATAACCTGATCAAATAGAAATTTTGTATTCTGCATATGGTTACAAGCTAAGGTACATTTGTTTCAAAGCACAGCAAAGATTGTTTGATTTCAATTCCACTAGAGGCTCTGTTTTTATCTTATGGTTCATACTTATTATAAAATAAGTAATTAGAAAGTGTTGTATCAGAATTAGGGATCCAATAATTAATCATCTATCAACTAAATTTGAATTAGGTTCTTTCTAAATGAGAAAGTAGAGTTACATATAGTTTTTGAACAGAATATAGCTAGTTATAACCAAAGAGTGAAAATAAATCCGTAAACAATTTTGGGTATTATTACTGATATTGAATGCCTGGATTGTAGAGGGAGAATGAAGAAGGCACTTATTTTATTTTGGAGTGCTTTGTTTTAAAGATAATGCTGTTCCTAAGAGGTTAAAATTAAATTTTTATTATAAAGTAACAGAATCCACACTAGAGAGTCGTATGTTGATATGGCTTAATTAATTACGGCATAGGACTGCCTGTCTTAAAGGAAGCAATACCTTCATGGAGATTTTCTATAGATTTCTGTAAAACACTTTCATAAAAAGAACATTTGTAAAAGTTAGATATATGTTTCTTTAAACCACAAAATATAGTGCATTCTGCATTCTTTGATACTTTTATAACATAACACTGGTGGCACTTTATAATATTGCTGGCAGTCTTTTTGGGAACATCCTGTGCATCAAATATTAAGTCATTAGAAAATCACAAACGTATACATTTGCAGATAGCATGCTCTCTTACCTGGGGCTGCTGTACGCGCTACCGCCATATCCTCCTGAAGGTTTCCCATACGCACTTGGCAAGGCCGGTCCTCTGTTGTCATAAGGCGCATACCCTGAATGATAATCAGAAGACGATTCAACACCCTTTCGGTAAGGTTTGGGGCCACTGTCGCTAAGCTTGCCATAACCACTTGGAGGATAGTCGTGTATCAATCCATATTCGTTTTTCTGAGGTGAAGATGGTGGAGGTGGTCCTTGATAGCTATTATAAGAGCGTCTTGACTCCTGGCTTTGTAAATCATCAGATTTCTTTTCGGGTGCAGCTTTTGTGTCTTTTTTCTCCTGGTTTTCTGCCGTAACCAGCAAGGTGCATAGTGCAAGTATTAAAAATGGCTTCTATTAAAGAAAAGGTTTAAGAGTATTAAAATAAAGGTAAGAAGAAAGGACATTTTAAAGTAGATAAAAGTACTTATGTGTTAACCCGTCGACCGTGAAACTGTCGTTAAGCAGCGCGAATTAGCGTCAGTTATGGATAAGCGGGACATAACAGCATACTCATAACATCCGCACTTTCATTTGATGTAACCCGATTGATTCTCGATTAGCCACGTTATATTCTCAGAAACAAGGATATAAATTAACTCTTCTTGCTGTATTTTTAATTGCATTGTGAAAATTAATGTTTAAAATTTGAGATCTGTCTTCTACATAATAAAATGGATTATTTTCAAAAATGTGGAATCCTATCAAAAAAGTGTGTATCAATTAACTCTATAATGGTCGGCTAAATATGAGCAACAAAACAGTTATAGATTGGAACACTTACCGGTACTGTTCTGTTATCAGGACCGGATCTCAAAATGTATGCATGTATGCATATATGGATGTGTTCAGGTACGCAATGTATATATGTACATACATATGTATATGTGTGTGTACACATATATACACATACTTCTGAATCCGGTCCTCTGAAGAGCACCCAATTATCTGAGGGAAGTTTGGATTCATAGCTTTCTAAACAGAATTTTGGGTAAAATCAGATGGCCAAACAAAGCTGTAAAATCGACAAAAGTATTCTTACGAAGAGCGTCAAATTCCGACTGTTTTGTTAATTATAGAGATCCTAGTTTTCAGAATTCCTCAGGAGTGATTAGCGCAACTTTGGGGGCATTTCTGACAACTTTTACGGTTCGATAACAGGCAACTTTCAGGGTGGACGGGATAATGGCTTTGTGCATTTATAGATAAATATAATATATTATCTTCAATAAATATTGGATATAAATATTACCCTCAATAAAGTAATTATTTACAAGGAACTTATTCGACATTTCAAAATATACTATATACAATACAGCTGTAATTTCTCTATATACTATACAACTGTAATTTCTCTAGTCTGTTAAGTACGTCAACTTTTCATCTACCGACGATTTTATAAAATGGCTGAAAATAGCAGTTTATTATTATTCAAACCATTACTAATCATGCGCAAAACAAAGCAGGATATAAACAGATAAAATTAAAGATCATTACATAAAGCAATATAAATAAAGAAACTGCTCCTTGCAGTACAATAGCAATAACAATACCAAAGAAATCAGATTGCTTGAAGCGCAAAATTCTGTAACTTATCTTGAAACCCAAAAACAACATCTAATTCTCTCATCAAACATACATCGCAAAATATGATCAAGTACGTAGGCTGTTTCCAAAGATCTAAGAATTGTGTTAAAGGTCAATTTGTAGAATTAATAGGCGACTACAGACAAGCCTTGACATATTTATACTGCTATATCATGCAATATTGTTCAGTTGTTTGACTTTGAAAGAGCATTTTTCTTGCACTGTTTTTGAAATCATGGAAGATGCGAAAAACAATCATTTTCTTTTTGTGGAAGGAGGGAGTGAAAATATCAAAAATTTCTCACCGTTTGGCGATGATTATTTTGTTTCCATATTTCTGTTCACACATCTGCTCCCAGACTTGAAAAAACTGTAGGGATTTATATTTATTTTAACTAATAATTTAAAATTTTAGTTCAGACTTTCCTATAAGCCTTCATTCCCCTAATTGTCAGTGCCAGAATAGTTAAATTTGGTAGCGCGCGTGGAAGAATGCAAATTCTACCTTGAGGAGGAAAGTTTAAATACCGAGATTTTAAAAGGGAAGTTAGAGAGTTAGGCGCTAGCTGCCGTCTCTGCTGTAGATTATTGCTGGTTCAAATGGCTTAATTCCATTTATCTGCTGCCATTAGTTTTAGAAGGGAGTTGAAGTTTGGGATCTCGCTGAGTCCAGTAGTTTAGTTTACCACTTGTTAAACATTTCAACTTTACCTAGCAGAGTCTAGCAGAGCTATTTTGCATAATCTTTTTCCAGTAAGCGTTTGCATATTTCGAATTGCATATAAAGGTAGAGAAATGAAGAAAATTAAAATTGATGCGTTACAAGACTTTCTAAGACATTCCTAAGCTATTTTTTAAAATACTGGTGAAAGAAAGTATTTATTTAAATGGAACAGAAACAGGCCAAAGAGGCTATCAGACATATCCCTCTCCTACAAAACTTGTCTGAGTGCTCTCAAAACTGGTGGAATTTTATTCAAAATATACATCAAAAAAAAGGTTGCTTTTTCGTCCAATTTTAAAAGTTCTTATTATGAAACAGTTTTTGTATGAAAATTATGTAATTAAATTTGTTTAATTAAAGCATATTAATGACTGCAAAATTCCTTACTCTTCAGTTAAAAAAAATCTTATTATTCAACTACTTAAATTCAATTTTAATTCACTTTCACTAATTTTATTACATTAGATTATTATTTATTATATTAGATCATTATCTCTAAAGCAGCTTAAATTCAGCGATTTCTGTTAGATGAAAACGTGAATTTAAAAAAAAAAAAAAAAAAAAAAAAAAAAGCGAGACAGAGAAAAGTCTAGGGAATCAATATTAAGTCATTTATCCTATAATCACTTTTTTCCCTAATTGTAAACAAAAAAAAAAAAAAAAAAAAAAAAAAAAAAAAAAAACAAGGATTTGAATATTCGTTCACTTAATATATGAATTTCTGCAATCAAATAAACATTTTACCCGAATAGTTCAAGTGCCAAGTGCCTATTAAATTGAATGAAATATGAAAATAAAGTCCACGTTACGCAGTCCTTCATTTAACTAATTAAAAGAATTTACCGGCCCTATTTTGAATATCGCACAAGAATTTTTCATATTAGGTTAATTGATTAAGATGAAGCAACACTACGACTACCAGCCTATAGGCAGAGATGCCTTCGTGGAAGACGTTTTAAGGGAAACAAGCACGTATACAAGTTACACATGTACGAACCACGAAAATCAACCATGCAGACAGCCAGGTCTACGGGATTCGATTCCAAGTCGAACTGCCACAGTTCAGCGACTTTACCGTTCGGCCGCTGATGGGATCATGCTGAAAAATGCTTCACAGAATCCGCGCAAGATATCTACATATAGTAGCTCCAACATGATGTCATAAATTTTATATAGATACTTTTTTTTTTTCATATGTGTACTCAACTATTGCTTCACTGCCAAATATTTTATTTATTTTGCTTCTCCTAAACATAAATTCTAATACAGGAAGTTCTTTAGCAGAAGCAATTCCTCCTAAACGGAATTTCGTAGTTTTAAGGGGGAATGAGGGCTAAATTTTATTTAGCTGTTAAGTATATAAGGTATTTCTCCCGTCATCTTAGCGAACCTTCGTGGTGTAGTAGTCTGCAAGCTCAGCGCGTAATTAAGAGGTCCGCGGTTCGATTCCCGGCCAAGGTGTTGTCTATTTTTCATCTTTCCTGCTTCCAAAAATTACCTAATGTCCCTACAGTGGCGCCCGATTTAAAAGTGTGTTGGATGATGATTCTCCTCACCTAGGATTTGGAGTTTGGGTCCCCAAAAAACCCCAGTCGCTCTTTAAAAGGGGAAGTATATAAGGTATTTTTCCCGCCTACTTAGCGAGCCTCCGTGGTGTAGTGGTTTGCACGCTCAGCGCGTAATTGAGAGGTTTGCGGTTCGATTCCCGGGGAAGGCGTTGCATAGTTTTCATCTTTCCTGCTTCCAAAAATTATCTAATGTCTCTACAAGTATTTAGTTTTAGTTATGAATATAAAGATCTACTTTCCTTCAAGTTTTGGTACTTACTAATTTCTAGAGTTTTTTGTTGTTTAACTTATACAACACGTTAGCAAACAATTTAAAGGTAAATAAATGTATACATATGTATTTTTCCAATTTTGGAAAGAAAGGGGTGATGATCTTCTAGCAATAGTGACAAGGGCATGGGACAAAAAGGTTGAGAACCATCGTTCTAATAGAAATATTTAACAGGGTACTTATGTATTGATGCAACCCCTTGTCTCTATTTGACTCTTTTTTATAGATGATAAGGTAAAGGTTTCTTGTCGGGTGTTAGATGGCGATTTTCGCTACTTTGTTTTTTAATAAGAATTTCGAAATTATAAATACTTGACATAAGCTGGAAAATATTATCAACACCTCAAAAGAAAAAAAAGACTCAAAAATTTAAAATACAAATTTTGGCTATTAAATATTTATATGATATGTTTAAAAAATAAAACATCGTTCTCTCAAATTCGCAAAATTCCTTGATTGAGTTGTTGCTCTTCTCCTCATGTACTCAGCGATCTATTTTCACTTCAAAAAGAATCAGAGAATTGCACAAACTGGTGCGTTGGAAACCAGCTATTAACCAAACTTATCTCCTCATTTTTCCTTTCAGCAATTTCGAGGTAAAATACTGTATTTACGTAGAAATGTTACCAAAGTTTCTTGCACTGCTGTCAAAGTCCAAAAACTGCATATTTTAAGATTGAGTTTAAGGCAAAAAATATCACGATTTGTCTCTAAAAGTAGTTGGACTTCAATAAAAAGAATGTATATGGAAATGCCGACTTTGCTTGACTAAAGCATTGTTATGAGCATGGCTGCCAGTGTTTGGCACATTCTGAAAATTCGGCAACTTCTAATAAGGTGGTTGAGATAATACGTAAGACCTTTTAAAAGTTTCTGAGACAATACATTATTTTGTTAATTTGGCGATCCTGCGTAAAACTTTTGACAAATAGTGAAATGTTACAAACTTGGTCATTTTCAGAAAATGCATAGTTTTGTATATCTAACTGACACCCCCAGAAAACTCTGCCATCTCTGAATCTCATAAAGGAGAGAATTAGCTCATGAGCATTTATGAAAAAATAGTTTAATTCAACTAATTAATTCATTCAGGACCATTAAAGACTAATATACAAGTAGAGCCTTTAGAGTCTAGTTTGAATTTTTTTTAGTAAAATATTCTCAAATGCTTTTTATCTCGGAGTGCCAAATTCTTACCCCCACA